TAACACTGGGTTGAAGTCGTGGTACAAACACACAGACCAGCCTGGTAGGTCATCTTTGATGAACTTATCATACCACCCACTGTCAACAAAATCACCCACTGTCCATGTACTCTAGAAAACGAGGGAGGTGTGAAGGTCGAAACACGTACCGGAGCTCAGACGGATAGTCCACTTCAGACACCTGCCACAATTGGGCGTTAGTCCATGGGTCATCAGTACCAAGTCTGGATAGACCATCAGACGGATTGCTCTCCGAGTCAATCCACTCCAGCCAAACGCGAATTTGAAATTTCTGAAAAAGAAAATGCGCAACTTGGACCAAAGTATGGACGTCGGTTTGGGTGCTACTGCCGCGAATGAGAGATGCCACTGCGGCTTCGTTGTCGATAAACCACAGGACGTCACAATTCTGTAAAGCAGAGCCATGAAACCAGGGCACCAACAAGCCACACAGGGTTTCACCCGGGTAGATCTGTTGTGCACGGTCTTCCCAGGTAAGGACAACCTCATGGGGGACAACACAGGTCACCCCCTGGGGTTGGGCCGACGACCCAAATATCACCCAACCAACGCGTAAAATGTTTTGTTCAAAGGATGCATCTGAATAAATGATGAGAGGTTGGTGTGGAACCGAACCTACATCAATGTCACGGGGACCGTGAGAAGCCACTGTAGCTGCCAAAGGCTGCAGGGTAACGATGTCAGATGGGGACAAAGCTGCCGAGTCGGCTCGCTGGAGAGCGGTCAGGACTGGGCCTGCAACGCGCCCTGCCTGTCCGGAACACATGCTGAGCATCCAGTTAAGGTCTCCCCGGAGCTTGCCTGCATCATCAGGTGAAAGTTGGCCCGCTGCCAATGCACTCTGAAGTTTGGCAAGCACCTTGCGTTGGGTGGAAAATTTTGGTTGGAACCGGATAAACCCCTCCTCGACAAAGTCCCCTACGTGCACGGAGGTTCCAAGGTAATGTCGGTTACGCCCAGGTGCAAACGATTTAGGGGCTTGCGGAGGGGCCCCCATCAGGCGAAACACCAATTGGAGTCCACGTTGTGAGACATCCGCGTTGTGAACAAAGTCAACAGCCAGCTCATCGTCAAAGTAAGCGGCACAGACAGACAATGTACAGCGACGTGCAATGGCGATACCCAACTGGGGGAAACGATTAAAGTTCACAACTGCGCTCTCCAATCCATAGGCTAGGCCGTAAAGGGTGGTGAACCTCCAACCCACCTCAGGCACAAACACTGCTACATTAGAGAACCGCAGGTGATCATCCTGGACAGGCAAGCCTCTATATGCGTCGGGTAGATCATCAGTGCCGAGCCTCAAATCCAACCACTCCAAAGGAGCATCCGAGGAAACATCCAACGTAGAGTTGACCATACGTGCTACAGAGGCTACAAAGTCCACATTAACTGTAGAAATGGTCTCCTGCATGGCGGTATGGGTGTTATGCCCACTTTTGCTGGCATTATCAATGACCCTCTGTTTCCCATCAGGTTGAACAATCAAAAACCGTTCCACAGCACGCCATCCACCCACACCGAACTGATCATTGACTTCCTGCATCGTGCGCAGTGGGCTACAGAAGCCTTTGGAAATTTCATCGCGTGTAACGGCCAAAATTTCGGGGGCATACAAAGGTGGTCGGCTACGCACCAGTCTCAACACATCCGCCTCGGCTGGAGGGCCCAGCCACTCAGACAAGGGGAGTTTATCAGACTGTTGGATACTTCTAAACACACCCGAAGGGGGAAGGGAACCGACGATGGCGAAACCCCGAACGAGTTGCCTCGCTAACTCCCTATCCGGCCAATGGAGTAGACATGCCATAGTAGCCACAAAAGCAGGCTTCTTAGAGTGTGCTACTTTGTGGGCACTAGCACACCTGACTGCTGCAAGGTAAGGTTCCAGCGGCTGCACAGCTTTTTCCACAGCTTTAAGTGTATGCCGCAGCCTTTGGCTGTATGACGGTAGGAATTGCCGCCAAGTGCTCAATGCCTCCACGACGAAGAGAACATCCGGCTCAGGCCAATCTTGGGGAAAAAACGGTGACCGAAGGAGCTGTGATTGCCTGATGTGTTCATCCTTGCCCAACCCAGGGGGCAAAAGATGATCGAGGCCCTTAGCCGACGAACTAGGGTAGCGCTGCCCGGTCAAGCCTGCAAAGATGGCAGTGCGAAGGCGGCCCCAAATGGGCACTGGGCCCAACTGTTCGAAAGGCTCCTGACGAAGCCTCCGCCACATCGGATAAGCCTGGAGGCTGCACAAGTCACATGCTTCCAAGCGGGCTTGGGCTCGGGTCCAGGCATGCTCCGAGACCTTGGCAAACTCGAACTGCTGTCGAAGGTCTTGGCAAAGATCAGCTGCTGACAAGAGGCCTGGCATAACCTGCAGTCGCCCCGGTTCCCAGACCGTGTGGCGTAGCCGTTCCTGCAGGTGCTGCTCTGCTGTGTCAGGCACGGTCATCACCATCTTGGCCTCCAGAATGCTGGGTAGCATAGCCAGGAGTGCCACCACACTGGGGATGTGGAACCCATTGCCGATGAAGGAGTTCTGAGTCTGCACCCTCTTCACTTGTCCCCCTCGAACTGGAGCAACCACTGCTGGCGGGATGCACATGATCTGGCACCGTTCAACCGGAGAGGGCTGCCGCCATTGATGTCCGGCCCAAAGGAGCGACTGCTCTTCATACGCCCCAGGCGGAAAACGTCGACAGTCAGCATGGAAACGCTCGGCGGCAGCCGGGCTCACCTCGGGAACCCGGTCCACGGGATGATAAAATTCCCTAGTGAAGGTGTGCATAGCTCCCTTGCCCTCATTCTGCATAACCACTTGTAGTTGTAGCATAGGCAGGAAATGGTCGTCCCAAAAGATTTGGGGGGGTAGCGGCTTCTTGCCATTGTAACGCAGTTCCGCTACACCTGCTGGCGCCTGGCGCCATGTCCAGGACTCAGGTGGCGGATGCCCTGGCCCCAGGGCCCCACTCCGAGAGCGAAGCCAGAAGAACCTTCTCCGTGCCACCCATCCACAGGAGCTAGCATCAAGGAGCACCGGAGGGCCTCCGAGCCACTCCGCGTATGCTGCCTGTACTGGCCGGGGCATGCTAGCCACATTCTCCAGGAACGCAACCACTTCCATGTCGTGACATTCTGGAAGGCCTTCAAATTCAGCCACCAACCGCTGTAACTCCCGCGGCTGCAGGGAGCGTGCATCATGGAGGCCTTTCCGATGTCGGTTCAGTGCACTGTTGCCTTGACATGGAGAGCCGCCTCCCATCAGAACACCCCGAAAATGGCGACGCCGGAGCATGGGAACAAAGTCTAGAGCTCGGAGCGCCTCAACTTTGGGCACACTCACCACGTGGGGCATGACGGTAGTGGTGCAGTGGGTAGCTTCTTCATCCATCTCTGCGGCCACCGCATAGAAATGGACGCCCATGGAAAGCAAGGCGATCAATAAGCCTCCAATGCCGGACCAAAGATCCAAGACCAGCCATGTGCCCTTAAAGGGCTTGGCCCACGGGAACTGAGGCAGATCCCCCTGGCCACGCCATGTGACCGGCTGGGCTGCATACAACCGATCCATCAACTCTCTGCTGCCAGCCTGGGGATCTGGGCCGAGGAGGACACGGCGCTGAAGCGCGACAGGAGCTGGATTGGGCACAGATCCCGAGCCCCTCGCATAGCCGCCTGGGTCCCCCCGGGGGGGTGTTGTCCCTATTCGTGCTGCAATCTCGTGTGGGCCGCCAAACATGCCTTCCCAGAGGCCAGCTTGACGTCACACTGATGGAGATCCTTGCAGCCTGCCTTGGTGCAGCCGCGGCCATCATTGAAGGGTTTGCAAATCTTCTGACCTCCCTTCAACATAGAGA